TTACAAGAGTGTGAGTAGTAAGTAAGAATTAGCATTTCATTCAATATAACAATATTATCCGTGTGATGACAGATTAACTCCGTGTGGTGACTCCTATTCATTTCGTGGGTGTCGTAAGAAGCTACTAGGGGAGCAAACTACGCAGGACAGCAGCACTGCAAAGAGAAGGCAAACTCCTTAACTCTATACCAACTCGTCTGGCGTTGCGTTGAATAGTAGGCCAAAACCTCCTTTCTAAGGAGAGGCCACTGTCCAGCAGTGGACTAGTAACGGCTGTTGATGATGATGACGATGATAACAATATTGGGTGTTTTAGATTTTACTGTCAATTAGTAAACGGTTAAGTGTGAAACTTATCCTATCGTGTAATAGAGTGACGGTTGTATGTAGAACAATTATTTCCCAGAATATGAATATTTTAGGTTTCATTGTGAAACCATAATGACTTTTAAACTTTTGAATGAGCGTTTAATGGGTACATTACATAAGGTATCAACTTTTGGTTCAATTTTTCACCACCGATAGTAGCATAACTATTTAAATGAATCACACATTTAGAGAGTACGTTGTCCTAAATATTTTTTTACCTATTAAGGAAGGCATATATTTGGATACGCAGACGCGATAACTGGTGTAACGAATATTTTTTGGAACCGATAATCCCTTGTATCAGATTTTCCAAATACTTTGTCAACCCAAATAGTCACCTGTCAGCGTTGATGTGGAAGAATTTATTGACGCATATTTAAAGATATTCATCCTTATTTTTCGTTTTTATACTTACATGTAACTTTTTTCTGGAAGATAGCCATGTGTACAACAGTGTTAGCTATTAAATTATTAACTAATAATATTATACCGTAATTGTTTCGGGTGGTAGGTTGAATCGATCTATATATAGTATAGCTAGCTGCTTCCAATCTTGGAACGTGAATGTGAAATATGATTAGTGCCGTTATAAATCAAACCTATTAAGATAACATCCACAATAATAAATTCAAGGTTATGACTGGAGAATAAATTTAAAAAGACGAATGTGTGTTATTTAATTTAAAGAAATAATTTCATAAGATTACTCAAAGAAAATCCTTCAGAAGTCCGTCTACAGCATTCTTTTATAACCGTTTTCTTATTTAATGCACAACACATTAACTTGCTACGGAAAACTATATAGGAAATTGTTGGTGTATTATCCAAAACCAGTTTGCAAAATATTAAGTACAGTGTGTTCAGTTGGCAAGTATCTCTGCAGGCTGCCTTCTATTGAATTAGCGATGTCTAAGGCTTCAACGTTACGTGCTTTATTCAACAATGCTGAGTTGATTGCTAACTGAATAGTCAATATCATTTAAAGCTACTGCGCCTATTGATTTCTAAAGGATATGTTTGGTATTAAATGCAAGCCAAGTTTTGATAGCTCGCGATTTTAGGAATTTTCACCAATCCTGTTCCACCAAGTTCTCTGTACCTTATTGAAGAGCAGTAAAATAGTATTACAGTAGTTCTGTTACAATGACATTGTTTCCAATTTTTTTTCCAAGGAGACATATGTATACGGAATGTAGTGATGACAGCTACATTAAGTTGTCTTATTAGAATGTTGGTTTTTTATATTTTAGAAAGATCACTATTTCTGGAAAATTCTGTCTGGAAACATTATTTCTGGGAACTTTATGAGCCCATTCGTCAAGCCTTGGCAGAATATACCGGAATATTTTATTCTTCAATGCGGTGCTTGTATTATTGTCATATCCGTGGAAAAACCGCTTGGGTTCCCGCTGTGTTGGTACCTAGATATTTCTATGTTGTATCAAAATTACAAATGTATATAGTACGAACCCACAGAAAATTCAGTTTCGGTGCTTTTTTTTTGATTAACTTCGTATCTATATTAACATAATTGAAAAATTAAAGTAGTTTTTGCTTTTATTTCAAGGTGTTAAGCATTTATTTTACCTCAAAAGGGAACCTGAAAGCACTCTTTTTACGCTGGTTTGGTTTGAGAATATATTTTTAATTAAATGCACTTTCAATGCGTCTATGCGTCGATTCTGTCGGTTAGTTTATAGGTTGGAATATTCACTAAACTATATTCAGATTATATTGGTGGTTGTTTTAAAGAAAGAGGTAAGCAACAGAATATTGGCCTTTTTACAACCAAGGATTATCCCGTATTACCAAGTTAAACATGCAGAGAGGGTATGATTTGAATTTTTGAAGTGAATTTATAGGAAACAATTTCGTGGTATTGAAACGAAACACTACGCCACTGCAGTACAATTTTGATATAACAAAGCTGATACATAGAAACTACGAAACGTCCATTGTACCAAGTAATGTGTTATAATGAGCTTTTATACTAAAATGTTAAGTTAGTCGTCTTCTCAGATTCCATAAAGTTTCGTATTCCAGAATGTCGTAGGATAGATACCACAACATATGAAAAATCCATATGAAAACCACGTCACTGACGACAAATATCATTTTTGTGCTGTACAACATTGAGTCAAAAATACGTATTCAGTGACATTATAGTAATAAATAAGTTGTAGCAACTTTATCGTAATCGAAGTGATTATAGAAACTGCGGAGATAAATACGTTTGGGTTGGCAATTCACCAAATTAATAGAGTACGTAACTGACAATAATCGACACTGTAAATAGCAAATTCATATCAAACCATACGAACCTAAAACTAATACTAACCACATCACTAATCTGTTAACATAACATAGTTCAGTTTTACATAGGTACAGGTAGGTATTAGCCAACAATTTACAGCAATATCAAACATATTACATGATTGTTAACAAGGTTTTATAGACGAATTGCAAATAAGTAATATAATAAAATAAATATTTAACAATATTTATATTAAAGAATTTAAACATTTCCTCCGCTTCATCGCGTACTGGTAGCGTTCCCAGAAAAAGCAAAGTTGATTCTCTGTGTTAGAAATAGAATAGAATACCAGTTTATTGATTTCAGCATTACAGCACTTTTGTAGAAATATACAGAAAAACTATAATACCGAAAGCAAAAGGTCTAAGCGTCAGCTTATGCCTAGACTTCACATGGATTACCAAGCGCTGGTTTTCAGCGTAAACCCTTGACTCAAGTTTACAAAAAAATATATGTTTAACTTATTGATAAAACATTAAAAGAATTTCTTCGTGATCATATTTTACCAGAGGGGTTAAAAAAAATGTCTATTGTTTAAAACACAATGAGTATGGTCAGTGGGGGAAGGGCATTCAGTACATGGCTACGAGGATGTAAAAAACCATAAGACAGTTAAACTTTGATGTTATAAGGGGTGTAAAGTAATTAAGTATATATACTCGTATTTAATACATAATTTTGTTATAGTATTAATTTAGTATAATACATAACGCAATAATTTAGTTATTCGAGTATTATGTTTTTGAATTTCATTTATAAATTGTTTACATTTATTTTTGATAGTCGACATATTATTATGACTTGACGGATGACGTAGTAGTTTAAGTGGTCGCCACGCCGCTTTCTACTACGCTGAGTGCTGTGGGTCCGGTCCCCACATGTAGTCCCACAACCCCCACAACAATTTGTGTGATCCACTAATTGTTGGTCTGAGTCTGGGTGTTCTTTGTGTCCGTTTCATGTATGTTTGGAAAGTCCCCGGCGACACAGGATATACTTATTCCGAAATCGGGAGTTGTGACTTAACATGTAACTTAACATTCGTTACAGTTTTGTTATTGAAATAGTAATCAAATCATGTTTTGGACTCGTCATGCAAAGCCAATCATAGATAACGCAAGAGATAGACTACAAACATGTTAAATGAAATACAACAGAAATGTATGTTCCGTTACACATTCTAAGTAAATTCAATTTCTCATATCGAAAACATATTATTTTTATCATAACATAAGCAACCTATTTGCTATCATTTCAAAAGCATCAATTTATAATATGTTACTAGCTGACCTGTAAAACGTTGTTTTGCCATATACTTTTTTGGAGGTTGTATGTATTTTTCAATGCTAAATCATAATAAAATAAAAAAATTCTCAAAAAAAATTTAGGGGTGGGTCACCCTTATCATTTAAGGGGGTATGAAAAATAGATGTTGGCCGATGCTCAGACCTACCCGATATGCACACAAAATTTCATAAAAAATCGGTGCAGATGTTTTGGAGGATTTTGGTAACGAACACCGCGACTCGAGAATTTTGTATATAGTATTAGATGATATATACAAAGAATATATATATAAAGGCGAACACTCATTAACGTATAAATCTTGTACCGAGTTACATCTAAAGCAAACTTGGTTTTTCACCACACTAACTTTACTACAGCGCTCAAAGATATGATTGGCTCATCATCATAAAACTCTTTTTTTTTTTCTTAATTTTATTTAATCAAGATTGAAGAACTAAAATGTTCAATATTGATACCAGTAGGTATATATAAACCTTTTGCTGAAAATAAATGCAATACATAAGAAATCCTGTACAGAGTTGCATGAAAATCATAAAAAATTTAATGGTTGCCGGAGCTGAAAACTGACAATGTCGAACGGCCGGTCACTTTAATAAACAATTTTTCATTCTAACATTTTATATACTTGTATGCCATTAGGTTTTAATACTATTTTTCCAGTACAAATATATATATTATTACTGTTTCTACATGCTTTATTTCTAGTTACAGATTTGGTCATGTATGATATATGTTCTCTTATTTAGATTAATTTACATTTCACCGGTCTATCGACGAATATCTTGTAACTTCACAAGAGTATGCAAACATTATTATCATACCTAAAGGAATTTTGCCGATACAGCCCAATGAAAACAATAAAAATGAATAATGATTAAAGAGAGTGCGTCTTTCGAATCAGCTGTATAGTTTACTCTGAACAATTCGTCGTTAGATGTAGATTGTTCTTTCTACTAAACACACCGTTCAGGCAGTCTGAGCTCAAATATTTTCACAAGTGCCTACTATAATGGCGCTCAGCGTTGTGTCCACTTTAGCTCCTTTAAAAAACTATTCCACTCTGAGAGAGTTCGTCCTAAATAATAGCTACACATTACTCTTGCGCCCCTCCCTCCTCTCTAGTCCCTCCACATTTGGACTAAATTTCTTTGTCCTCACTCTTTCTAATGAATGTGTTGCTAGTATAATGGGATTAGAGACAAGAGGAATAGAGGATATGAGATGCCTGTACCGACTTGCTGAAGATTTAGGTTGATAAATAAGGTTGTTGATAAAAATTGTTAAGGGTCTCAAGTGCGGTATTTTATACGATTTTAGGACTATAGGACAAATGGAAGTAAATAGAAAAAGTAATTGAATAGTTGTCGTCCATTTGCCAAAGACAAATTAGGTCATTGGGCTGATTTAAGTTTATATAAAATCATTTGTTTTAAAACTAATTTTAAGATCAAGATCAAGTAGGCAGTAATAAAATATACAATTGCTACTCACAATTAACAAACTAAAAACTTGAAACTTACAAAAAACTTAGCCATCCACCTTCGATTATAAAAATAAACATCTAAAAAAAAGCAAAGCAGCAAAACAATTTTTTTAACTGTGAAACATCGTCCCTGAGACGTGTAAACGGAAAAATGATCGAAACAATCAAGCCTTGGTTCATCGACGGGACGAGCTATGAAAGGCTTGGTGATGGTATTAGACCTAGGATTAAGGGCCCCTTTTCGGAATTGAGATTTGGTGTTGGTTTTGATGAGTGCAAGAACAGCCTGTATGTGCAACTTTTTAGGAACAAATCTATTTCTGTTTCCAAGTTGTTCACAATTACGGCAGTGCAACGCCAACTCTTGTTGAGAAAACTACCAGCTGTACCCTCCACTGTTACTCCTTCTGTATATTTGGTTTTCTTATATATATACATCCTAATTGTTTTAGTTTGTACTTTTTGCAACAAGTTGTGCGGATAGAAGAAGCTTGGGGGACAACTCAATATTGGCGACTTGTGTGCTACCGCGACGTGTTGTGACTGTACTTGGTGTCAGTTAAGATCTTATGGGAATTATAGATGGTGTTTCTAGTACAATGTAAGGTGGTAGAAATTGAGGTCTAGCTACTAATGAAGATCATTTTCATGTTATAGACAGTGTTTAGTTTTGGTGGTTCTCTGATGTCCAACCCCCTTAATCTGCCTCTGGTTCTTCGAAGTCATTGGGATCCTGAATTAGGTCATAAATAGCGAGCGAAATACTTTTCACCGATGAAAAAGTGAGAAATGTGGGCGCCAGTGTATTTATTTTTGAAGTACTCACGCGCTTTTCTCGCCATCATCTTCAGATTCAATTTCGGAATCTTCAGATTAGGGTGAAGGTACAAGAATTTGTTTAGACCTACCTTTCCTCGCCATAGTACTGAAATGAATATCGTGAATCTTAAAACTTGAACTATAAAAATGTGATATATGTCTATGTTACACACAATATAATGTAAATAGATAACTTACATTTCATTAACTAGCAATGTCCGGTACAAATGACAAATACAAGCAACCGTACTTTGTTGGACTTTTAGGCAAAGTCCGTTTCAAGTGACGTTAACAATTTTTTTTAATATTGAGATAAAATACGAATAAAAGGTAATAAAAACAATTCAACACTATCGATTTATTATTATTCGAACTTAATTAAACATAAGAAGAATATAAATGAAAGCAATACTTACCTAATAACAAAATTTTTGACGAGTTCAAGACAAATTCGCGAATATCAAACCTCAAATCACACTTATGTGCGTTTTTATAACATATCACATAAAACGGACAGAAACAATTTAAGAGTTAAGGTATAACTATTAATTTGGCAATTAAACTAACTTTTAATTTAAAAAAAAAGAATTATTTTACTTAAGGCTTGTTTCATGAAATTTTTAAGGTAGACGAACTAGAAACTGTTTGGGTAACCAAGCCGGGTCCTTAAACTATTAAACTAAGCTTTAATTGGTCGATGTAATAGGTGCTGTTTTATAACTCTAAACGCTCTTTATTTTAATTTACTTAATTGTCCTTGATATAGCAATTGCCTACGACTTCTAGCGGTTTATGCGTAATTTAAAGTCATGGGAATAAAACATTTTGTATGCTTTTATTACCTTAGTTTCATCAAGCTAGAAGGATAGCGTCTTATCAAGCTTATATTTCTTGTTCTGTTCTGATGAATGATTCAATTGGTACAAAATGTGGATTTATTAACTTATATGCCTAAAACTAAGGAGTTTCGAAAACACACTTGTTTTTATAAACACACCAAATAAATTATATTGCCTTGCTCTGAAAAAGATTTTCATTTAAATGTTTTGTTAGTAAATTGGCTTAGCCTTATACACATACATATAATTTGGTTATATTTATTTATTCAGTGTAAATGTACTTATTAATTACTAAAAAAGTCAGTTTATTGATTTGCCATTGATAATAGAACCAACTAATTTTAAATTAATTTTCGAAAACAGAAAAATCACTTAATAATAGATTTATTTCTAGTTCTCAAAGATATACACTGGTATTATATTTTACATATTCTGACTTACAGTTATATTATATATCACTAAATCTTCGCATTCAGCGCGTTGATTTTATCTCAGCAAAAAATGTAGACAATTACACGCATACTGGACATGACATTGGTGAACGCTGTCAAATAAAATACACATAACTACTCATTTTTAGTCGTTGCAGTTTATTGGATGTTTTCAAAGTCGTTAAAATTTCAGTTTAATTTCACTTTCATTTATTCTTTATTAAATTATTATTAACGCAATAAATACTAAGGGCGAGATCATTCGAAAACTGAGTTAAAGTTAAAAAAAAGCAATATGTGATCGTACGTAATTTTTTTTTTGCATAGAAATCTACAAATAGGAATCTTCCCTCTTACCAGACGTTGTCTTATCTTAAGATCTTAACTTACAACTTCCTTGTTAGTGCCATAGTATATTTCAACAATACTTTTTTAAAAAAGGAGATTCATTACAGTTCTATTGAAACGTGAAGAATAGCAGGCAAGTGGAGACAAATGTACTCGTATAATGATTTGTTGTGTTTTGTATGTATAAAACTGTAATTAATAATAATTAACTGAAAGGCATAATTTAAATTAAATCCTTTACACACATAACACAATCCTTTACTTTTATTAGCGAAATTATATCTGTCTAAATGTGCGGCGTCAGGCGGCGACAAGTCTGCCCCACTTTCAAAACAAATAATTAAATTACTCGACGAACAATCTCGCACATTGGCACCAATTACGTGGATTTGTGCGCGCCATAACAATGGACGCAAATTGTTGGTGCGACGGCCTCTATACACAGCCATACAACAGTTTTGAATGTCACATTTTTACAACCTATCAGAAAATTCGAGTTAACAGGAAACTACCAAGAGTTATGCGATTTTAAACTGATTTAATCTGCCTCAGACAATTACAAATGTAAACTTACGAGTAAATATAAGCAGCTAGTTAGAGCCCTTTAGTCAAATACTTTGGTATTTAAAGATATTGAAAACTATAAGAAATCTTCAATTATTTGTCATCAAAACTTTATTATATATGCGATATTTAATATACAACGGCTACTCGAAAGTAGTATGCTGATAACAAGTCGGACTGACCGTTATCCTTGCAGAAGAAGGTCTGAGACGTAGCGCGACCGCATACGGTGTGGTCGACTGCTTATCAGGTGGGTAGCAAGTCCATGGGAGTTCTCGGTGGTGTCCTGATTAGGGTATTAGTGAAAGAGACTTTCATGTATCAGTGCATTCGAATCCTATTTACCACTTCACCGTCAGCTCTGGTGAAGAACCAACGAGGTTTTCACACGACAAAAGAAATCACCTGTGTTAGTGATAAATTCGTGCTTCGTACCGCAAGTTCTAAATTGTTAATAGCATATTAAATCCGTGCCACGTAAGAACTACTGCAAACTTTTCTTTAATAATTCTTATGTGAATGAATCATTATTAAAACTTCAACTTCATCAAAACATTTTTGGTGAATATACGAAAGTCGTTCACTCAGTAAATTTGGAATACTTTTTTAAAGTTGAGAAAAATGAAAGTTATTAAAATGTTGGAGGTGTTTTAATACCATTGACAACAACACTACATTCTTCATTCAAACTTCATACTTTTGTGTACACCAAATCGAGATGAGTAAAGCAAGATTTTTCTCTGTAGGCCTACTTTTGAGTATTAGGGCCATTTGACTTTCATTAATAGACAGCGGAGAGAGCGGGTGACATTGCAAATGATGACTGATTGGAGGTCGTCAGCTCGTGACCTTCGTCAAGGTCTGTTTCGGCTTTAGTGGCCATTTCGTTGTATTGATGGCAGTTCTACAACGGAATAAAGAGTAATTGATGTTTGTTATTAAACTATTAATATTGTTTAAACTTATTCTATGTCTTTGTGTAGTTAATTCTATATTTAGCTAATCCAAATTTATGAAAGACAAACAAAGAATGATATAACTTCTTCTTGATTCGTTCCCAAATTTAAGAAATAACTCTGTGAAAGCAAAATTTTATCATTTTCGTGTTATATGTCAAGCCAAGTTCAAGATTAATTTATACGAGAATGAATTCGATCATTAGGTATGACATAGCTTTGACATACCTTATGTTTCGACCAGTTTGCACTGGTCACAGGTTGCCTATCTCCGTGGTATAAAGTTGGTCGTCGGGCATTTATTAACAATTAAGTAAGTGTCTCTCTGTAAATCTAATGCTGAATTATTGTAGATAGATATTAGAAATAGATATAGATATTAGATAGAGATTACAGATAGATCTAATTATTGAATTATTGTAGAAAAGAAATTTCCTCAATTAGAGATTTAATTGATATTTGTCAATTTTATTTTTCAACAATGCGAAAGCTATAACAAACTGATACAGCCGAAACTTGTTGATAAAACGGTCACGATTTTTTTTTCAACCAAATCTAAGTTCAAAAAACTCACATTTTAAAATGTCGACGGATACTCGTCATGTGTGTGGACGATCCATCTAGCCTCTCGTGAAATATAGCCATCATTGCGATAGGCGAGCGAGGAGGTGAGACAGTGGTGGTGAGCGGGGAGGGGACAGGACGAGGTCCCGTAGCCGCAAGGCTCGCGAGACCTACGAAGAGGTGGATATGACGAAAATAGGTGTCAAAAATGTATTTATTTTAAATTCGTAATTGTTGCTTAATGGGTAATA